CTCCAGGAACCTCCTCGACAACAGGACCATCCTCCCTTTTTCTCTGCAGAAAGTGGAATGCCTGCTTTCATAACAAAGCATCTTTTGAGTATTTACTGTGTTAGCGGGTCTAGGGTAGCTCATACAGACTATTGATTGTAACCCTCTGATGAATAATCTCTAAGTATGAATATGTATACAAGGCAGATGGTACCAAATACTTTTGCATTTTAATTCCAAAATGCAAACTCTCAACATCATAGGCTGAGGTGTGAGTCTCCACTTAGTCATCCTCACAGGTGAAACATGAACAGAAATTTAAGTGAGACATGACAGGAAGAATAAGTACTTGTCACTAACACTTGGTGACAAAACCAGCTCACTTCACTGTTTTACAGTAATGCAATTCAAAGTAGTATGATGATAGACTAGGAACAATGCAAATTCTTCCCCTGACCCAATTCCTAAATGGGTTTGTAATGCCCCAATCAGATGTACAAGAGGTGCTAGGAAAAATATATCAGAAAGTGTATGGAGCACATGAAGAATGTGCACTGCAGAAAAACTCCACTCCCTTTTATTGAACTGTAGGGTGTTTGTAAGTGTGGGCAGCGCAGGAAATCTGAGTCAGCAAGACCTTGATTTGCAGAGTTATTGAGGACACAGTAACTTCATTTGGAGTTGTGGGCGTTTAATAGCCTTGAAAATAGGACCGTGAGAGATGCTATTTAAGGTGTGAGGCATTTCTGTCTGCTGAAAGAAAACCTGAAGAAATTATGCTGTTTGTGTCTAGGGATAAGGAGGAAAAATTGTCTTCTATTTCTTCTTCAGAAGTCTGTTTTTCATCAGTGCATCAAAATATTCACTCTGACACAAATGAGCAAAATGAACAGAATTAGACCGCCTGTAAGAGGGATAGTAGGGTGGTTTGGTAATACTGGATATAATTCTGCAGATCACTGTGTGTTAATCAAGTAATTGAACACTGAATCAAGTAATTGAACGCTAAAGAGAGGCACACTTTCCTCTTCTATTTTGATCATGAACAATTGTCCAAACCCTCCCCAACAAAGGGCTGCAATAGCTAACCTGAAGTGCCATCTAATTATTTTTAAAAGTTGGTAGGTTGTAGCCACTCTCATCTTTAGTGACAGGACAGGTATTAATCACTGATGTTCAGATTGGCTGTTCCGGCTTAAGCGGAGTTGCTGAATGTATCCAAGGGTTACATGATGCTCCTTTTTTGTTCTTTTGGGGTTTTTTTGGGTAATAGGTGGGATACTGTCTGTATGGGAGTGTTTTGCAGCCCCTGTATAACCCCCTGAGGTGTACTTTGGTTAGGGTAATATAAATCCTGTTTCTAGCCATCTGGCATTCTCCAGAGTGTGAAAACATGAGGGGATTTTGCATACTTCAGCATAACCTACTCAAGATACGGGACCTTGTTGTGACAGGCTTTATCAGGATTGTAGCAGATATTAATTGGCAAGATCTGGACAACCAGCAGTGCCAGAGGGCACCGGGCCAGTGCTGTTGTGGTGAAAGCTGACTGTGCTAAGGATAAACTGTGTAATTAAATGGAAGCATGTGTTGGGCTTCTTGATGCACTGCAGTTTGCTTTCAGACATTTTTCTGAAAGAAACACAGCACACTTGTTGGTGCACTTGTTAGTGGTCGTCAGCCAGTTCTTCTTAATGTGGATAAATCAGTGGTGAGAACTAGTTATAGCTAGAAGAGGATTTTTGCCTTGGTGACCAGTTCCTGGAAACTTTTATGTTTATTTCGGTCTCTTTTTCGTCTGTTTCAATTCTTTTTGCAGAGAGAATGAGATTATCCATGCTCCGGTAAATGAGCCATGAGCAACCTCATTTCCTCCACTCTTTGGTAGGAACTCAGCAGCTGAGGCATTATGAACCAGAACTGAGGAGGTGTGTAAGTCCACTCAGTTTGTTCAAATGCTTCGTTTGCCTCTCTTCACTCAGTCAAGAGCCTTTGTATCTTCTTGTACAAAGGAGCCCCTGGGCTGGGACAGCTATGAGCCTGACTGGTTCAGAAGCACTTGTTTAAGTTATTTCGGGTGGAGATGAATGACAAGAGAAATGATTCAGGTGTTATGTACATCTTTAGGTTTGGAGGTGCAGAGCGAAACCAGGTGAAATTTCTGAGCAGATGGGAGCGACCGGAGCTCAAAACCACTCAGTGCAACATGCTGCAGCACAGGGAACCATCTGAAGTGAGGTCTCACTCTGGAGAGCTGTGGGAGGCTCCTCTTGGGTGGGACAGCCTGTTCTCATGTCACTGTAATGCACTGTACTGCCTCTGCTGTGGTCTCCATTTATAGCACTACACTGGGCTATACGAACGTCCCATGTTCTTCAAAGCACGTCTGTAAGTTTTGCACCATCCCTAGGTCTGAAAGACTTCAGTGACTTTGTTACCTTGCATTTCTTCATTGCCGCTGTAGAGGACAGCTTTGGGTGCTGCTCACTAGCTTTCAGTAATCAAATATGAAAAAGAATACGCAAACCTAAACAGAGGCACATTAAAATTTGTAGCTGCCCAACAGAATGAAGAAACAGCTCTGCTGCTTTCTATTCCCACGATAAAAGGTTTACAGTAAGAGCAAGTCAAAAATCAAACTGAAAATGGATTAAGAGCCAAAGCCTGAGACAAGTTCCTAACTGAGGTATGTTCCCTTTAAGCTAAAGGGGACTCAGATCCTAACCAAATGTCTTAAGCTGTTATTTATTACATTATTACAGTATTGTTATGTAAGCCATAATGTGTTTCAGTAGGCAAACATGAAGAATACTCCTCAAACCGTGAACTTCAGAAAATACACAGCTCAATTTAATTTTACGGCGTGTCCCCTTGTTCTTGTGCTGTTGGAAGCAGCAAACGACCATTCCATCTTCACATCCCCTGAACCCCTGGTTCAATAAGGCTGTCTCTGGTCTCCTCACCAGCTCCTCTTCTGAGCCAGCACTATCCTTCATTTCATCTCTGCCGTGTTCAAGCTTCTCCTTAGTTTGATCGTCCCTGTGGCCCTTTTCTAGCTTATCTATATCCTCTGTGAGTTTGAATGACCCAAACTATGCACCCTATTCAGTAAGTCTGAGCACAGTGATGTGATCATGTGTCCTCTTTTGTTTCCTATTCCTTTTTCAGTGTTTTTTAGCATTCTGCTGGGATTTGTCAGTATGACTCTGCTGATAAGTGAACTGATGATTTCAAGACCTGCCCAGGTCTCTTTCCTGAGAAAGAGATAATTACAGATTCAGAGCTTGTCACTGTAGATACATACTTAAAGGTAATTTTGTGCCCTACACATTATTTTGCACTTATCAGTGCAAACATTTTGTCTTCTGCTCACTTAATATTATGTGTACCTAAGATGTAAGTTTTAGCTGTCAACTTTAGATGTGATTATTCTGAATAATTTTGTCATGGCATTATTCACTGCTCTGTCAGGTAGTCTGTTACTAGATTGAGCCTCACAAGTCCCACAGCACATCTCCGAATAGGATCCTGCTGGTTAACTTGCGACAAAATGACATTTATTTCCTATCTCTAGCCATGGGGGGAACGTCCCTTCTACCCACTGATTGTTTAGCTTCCAGGATTGTACCATCCTTTTGTAACCCATACACAACCGTTTTTCCCTACCCTTTTGTAACCCATACACGACTGTTTTCCCTTCTAATATGTTGGAAAGCATCGTAGGGACAGATCAGCTTTTTTTTTGCTTAGCTTCAAAAGCTTTTTCATTGTCAGTGCTTGGAAATGAACCATACGATCCCTGTAAGAATCAATTAGGTTTGGCTTTTTGTATGCACAATCTCTCGTATTCTGTGTGTCATGCACGTATTTTTTTGCAAATGGGTCATTGAGACACATCTTGTAGTAACAGGCAACATCAACTGACAGTTTTTCATCCTGTAGGCAACGTGAGCAACGTGAGCAAATATAAACATTTAAAATGGACATTTTTAATAGTTTAAAATATATATGAATTCTGATAATTATAAAATAAGTGGCTTTTTAATTGCTCAGACTCGTTAGTCACAACTGATGCAGTGATTGTTCTCACTCATGTAGAACATAGGGGAATTTAATGGCAGATGTGAAGTTAATTTTTATTCTTATGACATCTTTAGAACAGAATCTGAATCCCTTCAGTTTTTGCTCAGCGTTTGATAAAAAGATGAATGTTTTTATGATGGACTATGTTGATTGTCCTGGTAAGCAGCAGCTGCAAAATCTGATGCAGTTTAGTGTGTGACAAAGCTGAATGTCACACACTAATTTATTTGAATTGGAGCCAAGCTAATATTCCTTATTGGGGTAAAATGCCCATTAAAATGTTTTTATGAAATTAGGATGGCAGATTCATCATGGAAATTTGGGAACTCCCATTTTGGGTGCATTGAAAATCATTGTTCAGATGAATAAGCTATTTATATAGACATGTGGTATAATACTGGATACTCCTTTAATCTTTTAGTAATCCAAACGTTACCATATGGACAAACTGCACAGATTGATTTGAGGAGGCCTCACTGGATAAACGAATACTCTGCTTCAGTTAATTTGCTGAGCTTTTATGTTAGTGTATCAGGAAAAAAAAATGCTTTCCAGCACATAGTTTATTTGCAGTGACATATAAAATGAGACTGATGACAATCAACACAGGTTTAAGGCAGCTTGTTTGACAAGCAGCTTGTGATGGTTTGGACAGTTATCTGGAGGGCTTGCTTTCAGTACTTCGTTGCTTGTAGCCAGTGCACGGCCTTTCCAATGTGGAACCACCTTTGCACGTACATATCAGAGAATGCACACAGTTTCCGCTACCGTTTTGCTTTCAGTGATGTACCTGCATTAATTTAGCTTAATGCCGTAATGGGTTATTTAGTTTTGTTATCAACCTCTGCTTTCTCAATCTTCTGTCCTGTGAGGAACTGCCATATTCCTCCTCTGTAGTTCTCATTGCCCAGGGCATATACAAATGCATCCACCGTTGGCACAGTCTTGGCAATAACGGCAGGAATCTGTTGTGAGACACAATATTTATTAATAGGAAAATGCACCGAGGAGCCAAAGGGCTGATTTCAGCCTAGGCTCAGTTTCCCTTTACCAAACAAATGCCTGTCTCCAATGGCTGTATCCTGCTACCCCTAGGGAGATGAGAGGTAAAAGCAATTTGGTCAGTTGGAGGCCCTTGCTCAAGAAATTATAGTCTCCAGGAGAAAGGAATCAGGTCAGCATTGCCTGAAACGGGGATATTTGACTTGAGAGTGAATACAAACACTTAGGACGAGTGAAGCGTGTGCTGTGGACACCTTTTGATGGATAAGTGGGCTGATATTGCTAACACATTTTATGGGGGATACTGAATACCTAAGTACAGTAATGCATTTGGTGACCTGAAACTGGGCTGATTTTTGGGGACTGAATGAAAGTTGAAAAGTTTGATGTGGTATTACTGAGTCCCAGAGGCAGTCTCAGAGCCAAGACTCACAGAAAAAAGGGAGAAAGGAGGCAGCATAACCTTAAGAGTAATCAGTTGCAGCTTCCCTGAGGAGAGAGAAGTATTAGAAAAATGAATGAGACAAACAGTCTCTTCAAAATTGAAAATTTTGAGCTGGTACTTGACTCTGGGAAGGACACATGAAGCTCCTACAAACCATGAAGCAGTGCAGGCTACAGACCTCTAACTCACTGCTGAAGAAAAAAACCCCTGACTTCCTAAGTTGTTGCTTGATCAAAGCAGTAATATAATGCCTGTTACATCACTGTGCTTAGCTGTTTTGCCTTAAAAGTGGTAGATGTACAGAATGCTTGGAGGAAACGATCTACTTGTTATATATGTAATAACAAGTAAACCCAATTGTGAGTAAATTGGCATTGTTCCATAGGAAAGAGAGAGGAGAGTAAGGAGAATGTAATTGTTTGAATTCCGTCCGGTGGCATAGACGTACCATGCGGTATTTTGGTGAAATGAACATCACATTTTCAACTGCTGCGTAGAAGCATAAAAGGCAGTAGGGACCCCAGCAAATGACCAGCGTCTTCAATGGTAAACCAGTATTAAACTGAAAAACAAGAGCAATAAATTCCTTTGTGTTTCACAACCACACAGCAACAAGCGGATGGGACAGCTCCTGTGAGACCGTGGTTTGTGTTCAGTAGCAGGAGAGGATCAGCCAGCAGGATATGCTGTATCATTGCTGCTTTGCTGTCGATGTTGGAGGTGTGTGAGCACAGCTCCCTCTGCATTGAGGGCTGCCCGTGCAGCAAGCCCCAGAGCCCTGTTCCGGGGGGCCGGGTGGTGAGTGGCAGTTGCTCCCAGGCAGAGGTGACAAAGCACCTTATGGTACATCAGTTAAATCAGTGTGTGTGCTAGACATAGAAGCCATGGCCAGTAATTGCTGCTGAGGGGGGAGGGCAATGTGTGAATTTAAAAACAGATAAAAAGGAACAATATTTCACTGACTTCTTAAGAGGGTACTGCAGACAAATAAACTGTGTGAAGCCACTACTATGGCAGTGCAACAGATGGATGTAGTGGCATCTGTGTCGTGGTAGTAGGATTACTGCGTCCTTCATGCCAGGGCCTTATGCATGGTGTTCATGGCCAGCTGTTCCCAAGTATCTTATAAATATTAATGAATAGGGAATTGATAATTTCATCCTTAAATTTTCTGCATCTGCACAGCTACAGAATATCGTAAGAAAGAAATCACACGCTATTGCATAAACTCACTGAAAAAAAAGGTAGTAGACTTATAATAACAAACACAGATTTGTTCAAGAAATACATGGAGGGCACATGTATATATTCCAGACAGCTACAAACCAGTCTGCGTGACTGTCTCTTTGCTGGTATAACATCCCCCTTGAGAACTGATTGTCTTTACTGAGTGCAGGGGTCGGGCTGTGCCTGCCAGCCATGCATAGTGCCCCAGACTGTATAGCCTGCACCTAAGGAAACAACTCATATAATCACCACATTACATTCCCATAAACCTGCCACGCCAGAGCAATTCCTTTGTTTCCAGCTCATAAAGATTTCTGAATTTCCTCAGCCAAGTGTAAACACGGTGTGTTTAGGAAGGCCCTTCTCCCCCTATGGGGTGCCTGCGTGTTTCCTTGAAGCGCTGCAGTTCTGGCTGACTGCCTCAGCGATAAGCTAAGAGCCTGTAGCAAAGCAGGAAATAATGATCCTTCCTGAGCAAAGTTTCTCTGGATAAATATTGATATGCTATTACCAAATATTCTGCATGCTGCGTGTTGGTTTTGTGACTAGAGTTGGACCAGTTTTGGTGGAGGGGAATCCTCAGGGTCACTAGTCCAGCCCCTGCTTTGACGGGGAACTGTTTACGGCACCAGGTCTGGTCAAATCTTGAAATCTCTACGGGTGGGGTTTCCTCGAACTTTCTGGGTGGCCCCATCCTGTGTTGCACAACCCTCCTACTCAAGTAACCGTGGGGAGTTAGCACAGAAGGAGCTGAGCCAAAGCCTCTGTGAAAGAAATTGGCTTTTTGAGGACTTTGTCTCTATTGGATGCAGCCCTATTTTGGCAAGGCAGTTGCAGGGGCTGAGGAAGTTTTCTTACCTTATAGTGCCCACTTTTCTTGAACTTCTGGTGTATGGACTGATAGGCCGTCAGCATGATGAAGCCCGGGATCATGAAATTGAAAATGGACAGAGCAAAAAGGAACGTGATATAGTTTCTGGAAAGGGTGAGGAGGGAAAAAAAAGAGGTGGTTAATTCCTCTCTAGGGCATCTTTGTAAACTTGCTGTAAATATTCATTAACTTATATTTTTAAAATTGCCAAAACCAGATTTGTCAAAATGCTTTAGGTGCAGTATTTGCTGAAGGCCGGTTAAGTTGTGCCATGCTGTTGCATGTGGGGTGGATAGTATTGCAGAAAATCACAGCAGGTGTTTGGTTTCTCAACCCAAGCATCCCTACTCAGACATCAGTGCTGGACTGCATAAAAACAAAACCATTGTTAAAGAGTTTCAAGTCCTAAACCAAGAACAGATGCAGCTTATAGATGACCAAGGAGTAAGGGAGTATCAGAAGCCTGAGCGTCAGCCTCTCCCATGGAGGAAGGTGACTTTAGCTGTTCCCACATGCTGCCATACGAGTCAAGGCAGCCTCGGGTCGTGCCTGCCTTGCCCCAGCCCCTGGGGAGGGAGATCTGCCCCAGCAACAATGATGGGTGGGTTTTGGTGTGCTGCTGAGGCCATCCCAGGGGACAGCAGCCTCCACCCGCCCTCCCGTGGGAGCTGGCCCCAGCCCTTACCTGTCCCCTTTGCTGTAGTCCAGGGTGCAGCAGGTTCGGAGGGGTTCGTAGTCGTATTCTCCCCACCCCAGCAAGGGCATCACAGACCAAAAGGCAGCAAACAGCCACGCGAACACCATCATGGAGATAGCCGTGCTCCACTGCAGCTTGCTTCCTGTGGGAAGAGGAAAGGGGGTCTCCATGCCCGGAATGAAACCACAGGGCAAAGCTGTCCAGCTCTGTGGGGCCAGAGCCAAGTGCCCCGGCCCCTGGGCCTCAGGCAGAAACAAGCAGTTGTCTGTGTTTTGTAGCCCGAAGCTGACCTGAGTCTGGAGGAATCAACCTTGCACAAAATTTGAGGGAAGATTTTAGCCTTTAGGAAACAGCAAATGGTACTTCCCTTTTGCATGCTTTACTTAGACAAATGCTGTATTGCTGCTCAGCTTTGTGGAGATACAGCTGCTGTTACAAACATTATATTCTTGTGTTTTGGGAACGTGTTTAAAGACTCAGATGAGGCAGAGAGTAGAAGGCACAGGGCGATGCAATAAATAGTGTTTGAAGAACTGGAGCCCCGCTGCAGGGTGTGAGTCAGATCAGAAACGTGACTCTGCACGCAGTCCCCAGCCCTGCCTACTTCCTTCCCGCCCTGCCAGGCATGCAGGGCACATGTGGATATTAAATATACCCCGTTCTAAAAACGCTGCTCATCAATATGTATGTGAATATATGTACACAACCTGACAGCAGATCTTGTCCTAAAAATACTGCTGGTCAAATTATTTTGCCCTTAAGATCATTGCTTAGCCTGGAACAGGAAATGTGAAGCTCAGCATTAGTAATTTTTTTCTAATTTTGTAATAAAAATGATCACTTGTGCCTATCTCATCCAGTTCCATAAAATACCATTAGAAGTAGGTCAATGAATGAAATGAAAGATTGGAAACTTCAGAAAACACAGCAAGTACTTCTTCATGGAGAAGGCTGGCAGGCTTCCCTGCTGCTGCAGGATGTTGTGTTAGCCTCACTTGCTTGCGTGAAAAAAGGCCTGGGTAATTTTGTTATTGAGGCTAACGTCCGTAATCATGCCTGTGCTGAATAGCCCATGATGCCAGCTGCACCAGCAAGGAGCACGGTGACTTTGCCCACTACTCCTTTCTAATCAAATCTCCCATTAAGGAGAAGTAATGATGTAATTTTCACTGAGGTTGGGAAGCAATCTTTTTGTCTGCCCTTAACAGCAGCATCATGACAGCAGGCCAGGAAGATTCAGGCCAATTCTGACCTTTCTCAGAAAGGTGAAGGATTGGAGGTGAGATGCATGAAGTGAGGCCCTGCCATGGGATCAGATGTGGCTGACTCATGGGTGGAGAGCATGTGGGGGCCGCACAGGCTGGAGATCCCCATAAGGCAGCAGCCCTGGGAAGGACCACAGACTCTACAATAGCTATTTTATGTTGTACTGTCCCTGTTTATTTTAAAGAAGGATAATGAAGTAGGTTTGTTAGTGAAATTGCCCTTTTACAGGAATGCTGATTCTACCTCTGCCCTTTTTCTTATCTTCCAAAGGTTCTTCAGGGAAAAGAATTAAAGTTTGAATTGCATTAAAAATCAACTTTGAAAAATTGTTTGGTGCAGGTGTTAAAAAATTAGTTATGGGAAAAGACAGGTGTACGCATTGCAATTTAAATACCAAGGAAAAAGTAAAGAAAATCCTTTTTATTAAATACTCTATGTTTTAATATGGTAGTTACCAAAAAATCTATTGATTTTTTTAGTCATTTGAAACATTATTTTTTAATAATTACTAATGAAGAATGATTAATAATGACTAATATCTGTCTTTTGTATGATTCCTACATAGAAGATATACTTTGGCTGCAAAGGCTCAAATATTGCTTTGTAGTACTGGCATAATATGACTCTAGAATGACATAGATGAAAATAAAGGAAGTTTCTGATTGAGCGTACTAGAAATACAAGTCAAACTTTTTGGTAACTTGTAATTCTTCTTAGCCTCCCAGTCCAAAGAAGCAATGTAGCCTAAGTTGTATCTTTCAGAACTGCATCCTATTTAGGTATATGCTTAAACAAGCATGTTAGACTGGTTACTCATCCAAGGTTTCCATTTCCATTTGTGTTCCACATAGCAGTTCTTGTAGCTTGGCTTTACACAACTGTAACTTGAAATTCAATCAGGACAAAGCTTATTACACAAGCTGTCAGGTTTTGTTTGGGTTTTTTATTCTAGCAACTTTTTAAAGGCATTATCAAAAGCAGCTGCACTGAAAACTGGATCTGAATTGTGTTTCTTTTAAACCAAGCTCATTCCAAAAGTAGCTTTATTGCTTTGGGAATATAATTTTTTAAGTGGTAAGCCCTCCTGATATTCTGAAAAAACAAACTAAATCTTGGGGGGTTTTTTGTTTCTCAGTAAGTCCTATAAAATGGTTAATACCAATTATTTTTCTTGGTATCTTGTGGCAGAAACTTTGCTCTCTTTCCACCCCATCCTTTCACTTCAGGGACTACTGTGGTATCTTGAAGGTCTCAAAACACAATGGGCCATGACTGAGGCACCCTAGTGTCACTGGGTCCTAACCACACACTGGCACCTTATGGATCTTTGCATGTAAGGAGCAGTTCCTTGCATTGACAAAATTTGCCCTCAGCTGCTGGGACAGTGTTGGTGGCATGCTGAAGGCAGCCCATGGGTGTCTGCACTGACAGAGGGCGGCTGATGCAGCTGCCTGCATGCATTTGAGGGGGGTTGGTGCAAATCTCACCTTCCCTGCCTTGCGCCGAAAAGCAGGGGAAGCTCTTGCTCCACTGGCTTCCACCACCTCCGGGATCTTTCATGGTGCCCAGTCTCCTGGTGTCACGTCTTTCCTCCAGCCCCATGTGCTACCAGCTGGGGTGCATGCAGGCA